AAAAGTACCTCCATAAAACATTTTTATATTAATAATTTGATTACTTTGATGCAGTTTCAAGAAAGCATGCTTTATTGTTACGTTTGCCAAAACATTTAGCCGACAAACCTCTAATAAACTAATAATACAAATGAACTGTTGCTCTTCCATGTATATCCATCTTTTCATTGATTATCAGAAAACCACTTAGCCTAGAAGCCAAGGGTACCAGGCTGTAAATCGGTTTATTTTGATTTTTCATTTATTTTGATTTTGGAAATTAATTAATGAACAGTTTCATTATAAAACAAGCACTGTACTGTACTACTTGTCCATTACAAGGTAGAATGTCCTGTTGTTCAGTGATCTCCATTTCAAGTCCAGTCTGCAGTCTGTCACTGTCTGACTATGACTGGCGTTTCCCAAGAGTCATGAGTCTCTCTGCTGGTTGAGTTCTGACGTTGAGTCAGTGATAGCTTCTTCAGTGGGCTTGGAAACAACTGCCCCTCTGGCCTGCAGGCAGCAGCCCAGACTGGGTATCCATGAGAGAGAAGTTGGCACTAACTGTGCTGTGGACTGGAGGTGAGCTCACTGACCAAGTGGCAAGCGGACTTGGCCGCTTGTTTAAAAGCATATTTTGCACGTATTGTACCCGAGTCCCTGCAGGTCTAGAAAGAGGGTTGTACTGATCATATTTGGGTGAGTAACGGATAGCACTTCAAAACGGGCAAGAGGTGCAAAATTAAATAAATGATGCTTTCTGCCCTGTCCTCTAAGAGCTAACAGACTGACATCCATGAGGCATTGATTACCTCCATAAATGAATCTTCTTGACTTAAATAAACAACTTGATTAGACATTTAAACCTGCTGTATGAGCCTGAATCTTGTTGGAGTGACGCTTTGGCTTAAGAAATAACTACTCAATGGATATAAGGTGAAATTTCTAATTAATAGCACCGTAATTGGATTTTGTGATTTATATTGTTCATGTACACCTGCGGCGCTTTAAAGTTGTTTAAAGTGAGCTTTCTTCCTAGAGTTAATACTTTGGGGAGACGAAAGATGGAATAGTTAATATTCATTCCTTAATGAAGTGGCACACAATCTTGCACAGGTCCTTGCCAAACAATACAAACACCTTTCTTCAAGGAGTCTTGGTCTTCCAATATTCCCTTCCTTATTAAAAGAAAGCTGCAGCATATCTGGTTCTTGAATGCTCAATGAACTGTGTTTCAATTCCCACACAATATTTTTGTATTTATTGCTGAGTGAAAAGAAATTAAATGGCTGAGTAATTTAATGAATATACCACCTTTGTCATAAACAAGTGCCATTCACCTCACATTTTACAAGGAATGGCCCATAAAAGCTTGTACAAGCACAGTCATAAATTTTTCAGCATGTTTGCTTAAGATTGTATATTACAACCACAAAGATTCCCTTTTCACAAAATGCTAAGGAAACGTTTTTGTTCTTAGTAATAAAATTATCATTTCAGAGATGCATGGTAATACCTTTCATTCATAAGTGTTGACTAGTGCTCTGTACGAAGGATTTCTACAGTATATACCCAGGTACATGTACTGTACAGTCGAGACAAAATATTTACCTCCCTTAATGTTGTGCAATTAAAAAAATATGGAATGCATTGAAGGTCACAATCCCATTATCATTATTTAGAAATATAGAAAATGTAACACTGGAACACCAAATCTGGATGACATTATTTCTTTCTTTATTTTTTATTCTTAAAGTACAATAATAATAATATCCTCTTTTTCAGGTTAACAAAAACTCTAACAACCAATGTCTGATACACGGTTCAACTGTGATAATAATGGTTATATAAAATAGACTCAACAATCATTGATATAAACATCTAAGTTTTCTGTTCATTTCTATAGTACCATAGTGGCAATCAATGATTGTATTTCCAAAGACTGTTTTTCCACATTTTTAAACCTCTTTAAGCAACAGGTCAAAAGCCTATGAAATATGTCATTTCACACCAAATACATAATCACAATCATTACCAACAACAGTGTATCCAAATCCACACATTAAACATAGTAGAATACCTAGATATTTGTTAATAGATTCACGTGTGCCATACCTGAGATTAATAGTATTTTCAGTGCCCTTCAGTATATGAGATGTACAGTGCCAATACTGTGATTTTTAATTTTTTTATGTTTTCCTTAAGATGTATGTAGAACACACCTCTCTTCAGCACTAAGAAAGAATATGGTAAAAAAAGTCATATGCATACAGTCAGAAAAACTAATTAGTTTACCTCATATAAAACAAGATTAATTAGTCCTTCTTTCTTTCATCACATTTAATTTATGAAGGTATTGTTTTGAAACAATACCTTCTTGTAAGTTTTGTGAATAAAACAGTTTCCAGCTATTTTTCTGAAGTGGAAATTGTAAGAATGCACTATTGAGAGACCTGCCTGAGCATAAATTGGGCTATGTGAGTGTGCATTGAAAGTGTGTCCAGTCTTCATGTCAGTGTTTGTAAGGTGGAGGAAGGCAAGACTCCAGCAATGTTTGAAGTGCTGTGGACTGAGTTAGAATAGCAAACACATTTTTTTATTGAACACACAAAAAACTAATTACAATGGACTCAAAGGCAGAATCATACAATTACAGCCAAGAAAAAAAGCAAGGATATTGATATTTGAAGCTCCAATCAGTTTCCTTTTTTTCTGACATCCAAGGCCAGAAATACATTTCTAATTCAACCCCCCTCAAGGTTCATTGCTTACCGAGTTTTGTGCAAAATGCACACATGCACACAACTTAATTTCCTGTAAAAATGGGCTTTACTAATCTTATATCAAGATAATTGCAATCTAAAAACACAGTTCAGCGTTGCTGAGATCATTCTCTTCTCGGAATACAAAATACTCAGTGAGCTTCTTAATGAAATGGCACAGTGCACAAGCACATAGTTGTGAAAAAAGAATATTGCTTTTATCAACACTTCTAAAATGGTCCAAGCACTATAACAGTCATTTCCCAGGAGAACGTGTGAGTACTTTGTGAAGAATGGAAGCAGTTAAGTAAAGGCTTTTCTGAAAAGGAGGGTTTTGAGTCTGGATTTGAAGGAGTTTAGAGAAGGTGACTCTCTAATATCCTTGGGCAAGGAGTTCCAGAGCTTGGGGGCATAGCAGGAGAAGGCCCTGTCGCCCATACAATGTAGACGGGCTTGGGGGACAGTAAGGAGGGCAGAATTTGAAGAGCGGAGGTTGCGAGGTGGGGAGTAGGGCGATAAAAGTTCAGACAGGTATTGAGGTGCCAAGCCATGTAAAGCCATGTAAATTCAGATTAGTAAAGCCCATTTTTACAGGAAATTAAGTTGTGTGCATGTGTGCATTTTGCACAAAACTGCAATGCTCTGCTCCCTGGGGTATCTAAATCTACTCTGAACAAGCTGCAGTATGTCCAAAATTCAGCAGCCAGAATCCTGACCAGATCTAGTGCAAGTGTTCACATTACTCCTATCCTGGAGTCCTTGCACTGGCTTCCGGTCAAATTCCGCGTAGACTTTAAAATCCTCATGCTCACCTACAAGGCTTTACATGGCTTGGCACCTCAATACCTGTCTGAACTTTTATCGCCCTACTCCCCACCTCGCAACCTCCGCTCTTCAAATTCTGCCCTCCTTACTGTCCCCCAAGCCCGTCTACATTGTATGGGCGACAGGGCCTTCTCCTGCTATGCCCCCAAGCTCTGGAACTCCTTGCCCAAGGATATTAGAGAGTCACCTTCTCTAAACTCCTTCAAATCCAGACTCAAAACCCTCCTTTTCAGAAAAGCCTTTACTTAACTGCTTCCATTCTTCACCCCTCTGCTCTTCTTAATACCATCTTCCACGGTCTCCTCTATTGTTATTGTTGTATTGTTGTAATTATAATTGTGTCCTGTCTTGTGAAATTTTCTTATTTATTGTTGTAGTCTTCTTATTTATTGTTATTGTCATCCTGTAAAGCGCTTTGAGAAGCCACCTTTAAAGGCGCTATATAAAATAAAGTTTATTATTATTATTATATTATATTACTTTATTTATGAGGTGATGCAGTAGAAAAAGAAGCTGAATTTGACCCCAGAAGCACATTGGCATGCTGACTATTTCTTCTTCTCCTGGGTCCTGGCACAACCTCATGACATCTGAGCGTGCATGTTCTGGTTTTGCCAGGTGAGCTGGTTTCCTCCCACTCCCAAGCGTGTGCACATCAGCTCTCATTTGCAGTTCCAAATTGTCCCCCGCTCTGCGACCCCTTTGTGAACTGGTGTCCCACCCTTGTGCAGAGCCGATTTGCTTGCTGTGCTTTCAGAATAGCCCTTCACCAGGACACAGTTTTCTGAGAATGGGCAAACTGATCCAGGTTCGGGTGCTGGGTGGATCAAAGTCTCTCACCATTAGAGATCAAAGCCATTACTGCAGAGTGAAACCGTTTGTCTGGACTATGGCTTCCCAGCCCAGGGTGTGAATTGATCAGTTATGTGAATACAAGTCATTGGATATGTTCAGGGTGGTCACAGGCATAATTAAATCTTGATTTAGGAGTCTGGTGCAGGGCATTTGCATACAGTTTTCTAAATAGGAGATGCTCATAAATTATGGCAAGCCGAATTATCACTCAGAAAACTGCTTTTCAAGAAATCATATTTGGGGATATCTCTAAATCATTAAAGTAAATTAGCCCGTGTGTGAGCTGCAAAGCAACAAGTTAATTACACGCTGAAAAGCAAAATTAACTTTGGCTCACACTCCCAAAGAAAGCTCCACAGCCAAAACATCATTTTATTTTACTTTCCTACATGATGATACAGAAGCTCACATAGACTTCAAATATTATCGTGTCTAAACGAATAGGCCGTTGGTTGGTTTTGAGAGGAAGCCTGACTTTCCTTTCAGATAAAGTCACAGAACAGAGTGCCCTCTGGAGTCAACTGTGGAGAGTGTGTGTGCTCAGATGGTGCTTTTCAGCCTCTCTTTCTGTCTGCACAGGTGCATGCCCAATCACTGTGAACATGGAGGCAGGTGTTCACAGACATGGGACAGCTTCAGGTGTAGCTGCGATGGAACTGGATACACTGGAGCTACCTGCCACACCTGTAAGGATACCTCCTTCACAATGACAGCCATCCTACAAGTATCCTCTCTGCCACTGTGGCCCATAGTTAAGGAAGATTAACTGTGGTAGTTCTGATCGGATAAGTGTTCTGATTTGATAGGAAAAGATAGATGTTTTACTTCTCTCATTTATCTTTGTTAATTTGTCATTTGCCATGGTCTGCTAACGGTTGGCACTCACAAGAATGTTACCTGTTAATGGTTGAGACGTGAGAATTTTGAAGGAGTTAAAAATCATCCAAAGCTGGTAAAAATGTAGAACTGAAAATCATTTCTGTGAAAAATTCTAAGAACCAATTGTTTCATAAAAAAACAAACAAAAAGAGAGCCCTCAAATGACTTGAAGAGCACCTATATAAAAGATTGTTCAAATTATTGTCAGTACATCATGTACAGCATAATACCTTACTGATCATCTTGTCTTTCATCCTGTGGTTGCTTTCATAGCAGAATTCACAGCCCACTTGTGTCTAAAAGCCTTGAGCATGTGTGGCCTGATTTTCCTTGCCGTCCTCACAGCATATGGGCACTCACACAGCATAGAAACAAATCACAGCAGCAGGCATTAGCAAAGCACAAGCAGAGATGCAGTGTCGTCTGTTGTATATTTAGCTTTTTTGGCAGGCCATGCAGAAATCAACGCTTTAAAATTGAGGAAACTGGCAGTATACATTGAAACTTTTATTAAACAGAAAAAAATTATTATTCTGATTCACAGTGAAAGTGCCGAGAAGGACACTGTTCAGACATTTCAGTTATGGAACAAACGTGGCTCCTAACGGCCTCCTTGTACTGTTTTTTCTAGCCATCTATGAACAGTCCTGCGAAGCCTACAAGCACCTCGGTAAGACTTCAGATTCGTACTGGATCGACCCAGATGGGAGTGGACCGCTTGGGCCTTTTAAGGTGTACTGTAACATGACAGGTAAGAGATGGGCCTCTGAAAATAACACTTGTTCTGTCATCAGAGGCTGTGGCATGTCAGGGTGAGATCCGCCTCAACCATCTCACATCCTGACAAACACTACGTTGAATATGTGTATGTAATGCTTTTCAGAGCCCTCAAACACAGAACTACAGTAGTTGCTGAGCTCCTGGGCAATATGAACTTTCTCACAAAAGAAGCATTTCCTGTGAGTCCTGTGACAGCTGGGGGGACAGGAACAAAAATCTAAAGAAAATGTGTCTTTTGACAGAAGTAGAAAAAACACCTCTAGCAGAGAATCTAATTCTCTTTACTCTTATTTTCTGCTGTACAGACTTTTTTGAAGCGATAGTCAAAATATTTCTCCTACTGAAATGTACACTACGAAGCACAGTGTTACTTTAAACATCCAGCAAATTCATTGGTCCCGTTAAAATTTGGAGGAAGCAGACATCCATAAATGAGCGTCTCAGTCTGGCTGGAAGCTCCAGCAGATCTCCCGGAGCCTGGGATTGAATTGCACATCCGCTGCCAGACCATAAAGCATGATACACGCATGCACCAGCAAAGCAAGACAGAAAGAACACCAAATGACAAAGTTCAATATTTGCATCATTAGTGTCCCTCCTAGAGTTGGACAGATGGTAGACCACAAAAAGCTAATTTGGTTTTTAAAACATGCTCTCTTGCCTATAGCTGTAAAAGCTGGGTTTTTTCAAAGCATGCCCTCCATTATACCGAACCATTACAGCACAATTGGACGCCTCAGTCTGCTGTTCCAGTCTTTCCCTTTCCACACAGAAATGAAGAGTTATGTGTTCTGAGGAGAATTTAAGATACTAGAAGATCTGTAACTCACATTTTTGCTGTAGTCGCTACAAATGACTTGCGCTGTGTGACTCCTGCAGTTTACTGGTGCCCCGTCCAGGATGTATCCAACCTTGCGCCCGTTACTTGCTGGGATAAGCTCCGGGCTCCCTCATGACTCTGAACTGGTTGAAGCGATTAGAAAATGGAAGGATGCAGGGGTGGATACATTCCTCCTGGTTACGTCTGTTTGATTTAATACTCAGCTTTCGGGCTGTCAGGCCCAGAGGACAAGTGATCTCTGCGATCGCCTGTTTTGTTGGCGAGAAGAGGCAGGCATCAACACAGAAAGGGCAGCATGTTCTATGGCTCAGACATCACAAGCTGGACCCCGGCTGATGTCCCTGGTCAAACAGGAGCAGGATTCCCCAAGAGAAGGTGCACAGCTGGGAAAACAGCTGCCCGGCGCTCTCTCGACTCAGCACTGACTTCTGACTCCCCGACACCCGTGCTCCTGCGGTCACTGCTCTCTCTGCAGCGAGGCGCTGGCGAGCCTGCGTCCGATCAAGCTGTGAATGGCTCTGCCTGTTGGGTGGGTCGGAGGAGCACATTCTTTCCAAGCAGTGCAGGGACATGAGCCTCCAGCCGGTGACGCCAGATGAAAAACACAAAGAATCCTGCTCTTTCTTACACGATTGTCTGTGTAACGGTTTATTATCTATGGGTCACATTGTGATAATATCAATTAAAAACATCCTGGCACATAAAGTAACTTGGTGTTACGTTTGAGTTAAAAAAGTGTCTTGTATTAAAACTCTCAAAGTAGGGAACCCATGATATCAGAAAAGGGAAGCAAAATCAGGTTTATGAGAGTCCATGCAGTTATCTTTGTGAATAAAGGAGAACCTACAGTATCTGAGTTGAGACCTGTTTTTGCAACATACAGTATCTGCATGAAACACGCAGGGTAGTAACATTCTAAACAGTAGCAAAGCAGCCATGCTTCGGATGTACAGTAGACAAGTCGTATCACAGGCAAACGTGCAGTGCACCTGTGGTGGCTTCGGGGGGGGGAGTCTAATAATAATAATGGTAATGATGGGAAGACTGGTATCGCCCAGTCTGGGGGCCGGCAGGATGATTCTGCTGACAGGGCACATGCTCTACAGTACTCAGACAGCACTTAGCTCTCCAGTGATCGGTCATGCAGGAGGCGATCGGGGAGTGGAAGTTATGAAGAGGTGGGTGCTGCCAGAGGAGGGGTGGGGGCGCATCTCAGGCAGTCAGCACGCCTGCTTGGCCGTGGTTCGCTGTCCATTCGGCACTCCGACCCGCCGCCACACGGCGCCACGCCCGTTTCCAAATTCACAGCCACAGCCCTGGCAAAAAAAATATCAAGCACAGTTTCCTGTTGTTGTTGCTGTCTTACAGTACTGTACATCGTGCGTTAGTGCCCGACAGAAACAACACTAGCCCACTCGAATGGTGCTCTCTCATATTAAAGTCTTTCTCAATGAGCAACTTAAGTAGCTAGAAAAATGTACACCTCTGTTCATTTTGGATTAGGGGTGAGGTAAATTAGGTACTGCATCCAATTTAGATAAATTTAATGTATCAAGTGAACTATTTGCCGTGTTAAACCATATGCGAAGGCATGGTTAATCAGTCCCTGGAATTTGAACAGTGCCCAGGAATGCAAATCATATACTTAAAAGGCTTCCACAGCCCAAAGACTGACATCATATGCTGAGTATCAGGCTAATTTTCGATTTCCATCAGACAGGGTGAGTAGCACGTACAGCAAATTATCCTCAGCTCATTCCAGTGACTCGAGAAGAATTTTAACATTTCTTAGAGAATTTAGCAATTCCAGAATTTAATTTTGTTTCAAGCTGCAGATGTTTTGTATCATGCCATGCTGCATATCAGTATTTTCGTCTAGATAAGTAATTTAATTTCAGAATCTTCTTGTTTTTATATTGTATCCCCACTACAGAGTCGCTTGCTCTCAACTCCAGTATTACAAGTGAGCTTTACAGAAAATTGCTCTGTTAGGCATTAACAAAACAGTAATTTGCTTCAGGTTTTAAAAGAAATCTCTGACATAATGGAAGGGACAGATAATGAATTAGTCATTTTGCCAAAAGAAAATGTTGTTTTGGAATACTTTATTGCTGGTAATGGTGTTTAAGCTCTTCATTATCTTAGATGTTGTAGAATGTCATTTCAAATATTCTCATCCACAATAGAAAATCAACAGGATAATTTTCAATTTATTTTGGTCTAAAAGCCAAATTCGCTTTATTTTCTGAAAATAATTTTAGGAGGATGTCTAGACAATATAAATAGGTTGTGATAAGGCTGCACTGGTGTTCATGATAAACATTAGAAAATCATTTTGGCTTGAAAAGGAGAATATCAGGTTTATTCTTTTGCACAGTACTGTATATAAGCAAATGCTAGCTTTCATATTTCACACTATGAAGAAGGAGCCACTTAAGAAAACAATTACATTTTTAAGGAGGAATTTGCAAAGAAGACCTTTGGATGTGTTATAAAGTTTTCAACACAAGAAGCTTAGACATCTGGTCACTCCAACAAAACAAAGTGATTTAGCACCTGAGTGATATAAAAGCAGATCTTAAAATTATTGCTGCCCTACTTAAGACTACTTAAAACAAGGTCTCAGGATAAATTCTATTTTAGTAACCTTTGCTACTCAGCTTTTCTCCTGTGGGGCTCATGGTTCTGTGCTGTTTGACTTCCTACTGTTTTAAACAAGGAAATTCTTTGCCATTCCAGGGATTAGATACACAAGGTCAGACTGCCCTTTCCCCAGGCTAACAAAGACAGCGTGTCTGTGTTTCTGTTTCTGTGGATGTGCTGCTATGAGCCCTCCTTGTTACAGTTTTCCTGGTGCCCTTTTCTGACTTGACACAGCCTGTGAGGGGTTGTTTCAGAAAGGATAATAGCTCGTTCAAACCTGCATTCTGCTAATTGGAGAAACTTGTGTTCTCAGATTTATGGCTTATTAGATGGTGGTCTCAGCTCTCTGAAAAAAATCAGTTTCCTTAGCTGACTGTTTTATGAATGGGCCCTGTTTTAGAAACATTTGATAACAGAATTTGTTTTATTCTTCTGTGACAGAGAAAAGAATGGGTCTGTAAATAGAAATTCAGTACTCCTCAATGACATCTCAATCAATAGCTCAGTCTAGTCTCTACCCCATTTATTCAGTTGAGAACAGATTCCCATTTAAAATGACAACTTGGACAAGGAGCTCAAAGCCGTAAAGCAGATAAAAACAGAGAAGTCTCATGCAAAAGCATCATTAAAAATAAATTGCCATGCAGATAGAAGCACCAGTTTAGTTTTGTCCTCTTTGGAGGAATACTCCAACTGCAAGCTGTTGTAAACTGAGACAGTCCTGAGAAATAGGCATTAAAGCCTTGAGAAGTACCATTTTAAAGGTCATCAAGTTTTAATTAGTGAACTTGTGAAGAAAAACCATGAAAAGAATGAGAAATTTTACCATGTGAAACGATGTCATAGTTTCCTAGGGGGAAAGATTCTCAGAAATTCCCAATGAAACATCATAATAGTGGCTCAGGAATAATTTGCATAATTCTGATACATGCACAAGAGCTAAAATTTATTATATAAAGAAATGACTCATTTAATAAGACACTTTACAGTAGATAAGCTGAAGACTAAAATGCATTGCAGTAGCACAGCTAAGGTGGGTTTATGTATCTGTAGTCCATTTTGCTTTGTAGGAGTGTAAGAATGTGATTTTATCCCCTAAACCCAGTGCTGGAAGATACAGATATCCCCATCACTTGTAGGTGACCTACAAATCAACACTTGTTTTTCTCCCTTTCCAAAAACAATTGCCAGCATATCTAAAAAGGACAAAAAAAGACATTCTCCACTGTTCTCTGCACAAGTGAGCCCCAGTCAGAAAAGAATTAGCCGGAATCCTGACCAGGTCTAGTGTAAGAGATCACATTACTCCTGTCCTTGAGTCCTTACACTGGCTTCCTGTCAGGTTTCAAGTCAACTTCAAAATCCTCCTGCTCACCAATAAGGCTCTGCATGGCTTGGCACCTCAGTACCCTTTTGATCTACCATCGCCATACTCCCCAATTCAAAACCTTTGCTCTTCTAATTCTGGTCTCCTGTCTGTCCCCCAAGCCCGTCTACACTCTATGGGTGACAGGGCCTTCTCCTGCGATGCCCAAAACCTCTGGAACTCTCTCCCCAAGGATATCAGAGAGTCACCTTCTCTAAACTCCTTCAAATCCAGACTCAAAACCTTCTTCCTTAGAAGAGCCTCTATTTAACTTTGCTCCTACCATACCCCCATCTTCTGTCTCCTCTCATTGTGTATATATTGTGTATTTTTTGTTGTTGTTTTTAATTCTGTAAAGCGCTCTGAGAAGCCACCTTTATATGTATTGTGTATACATATATATATGTAAAATACAGCTTATTGTTATTATTTGCCTGAAGTATGATGGGACTGTACAGTATGTGCCCTGCCAACCCTGCGTGTGTGTGCATGTTTCTCCCCAGAGGACAAGGTGTGGACCACGGTGAGCCACGACCTGCAGCCCCAGACCCCCGTCAGCGGCTCCAGCCAGGACAGGAGGAGAGTCCTGCAGCTCAACTACAGCGCCGCCATGGAGCAGATCTCGGCCGTCACCGGCAGCGCCGAGCACTGCGAGCAGCAGGTGTCCTACTCCTGCCGCATGTCCCGGCTGCTCAAGACCCCCGGTAAGACCCCCGGGCCGTGTCCTGTCCTGCACAGATCCCCACAGGATCGCCACTGCCCCGCCGCGCCCTGTTCTGAATATCTACTACTCCTCAGCGTTGTGATCTCTGTAGGCACGCGGTAGTCCATTTATCCAAGCCCGTATACTGGAGAAGAACATGTGGTAGGAATCAGTGACATTGTAATTGGCAGTTAGAGATCTGTACTGCAGAATGTTCTTGCCTGAATCAGCGACTAAATTGGTGTCATTCTCACACAATACAAAATGGACATAAATATCTGTTGTAGATTGCTATGGAGTGCCGTGATTATACATGGCCACTCATGGGCTCTGGCGGCATTCTTAAGACAATGTGAGTTCTTGGACAGTGAGCCTACTGTTGGTCTAATGTCAGAGGTTACTATGTTGTCCGATCTGACGTATATAGTTCTGATTGCTCAATGTATATATTGCATCAGTTCTTGAAGGATTCAGTTATTGTGTATACATATATATATATACAGTATATACTGTATGCAATAAGTATTGAGATGCTTTAAACACAAACAGCATACAAGCAATGAAGGCTATTCATTCCAGTACTTGTTTGTTGTGTTTTTCATGCCACTCAGTATATATTATAAATGGAATAGTTTTCTTTTTTACTTTAATGGCATATACATTAACTCCAAACCCTAGTTCTCTGCCTCACATCGCTTCGAGCATGTGCTGGCCTAGTCCATTCTCTTGGTATGAACTAGCAGTTTAGGATTTAATTTATCTACCTTTTCAGAATTCAAAATTCTTTCTTTGGGACTCTTGTCTCCTTGGCTTTGTGCTCTTTTCATAGTCGGTTCACGCTCAGCCTTCCTATCAGCTCTGGGATTGGTCTAGTTTCTTATCTGCTGTTTTTTTTTTCTTCTAAGAGCTTGTTAGTTCAAGAGAGCAGAACACAAATCAATTAGTGCCACTGTGCAAACTTCCTAACATTTTAAAATTGCCTTTGTTTGCTTTTGATTCAAATTTAGAATGGAGGAAAGTTTCCCTTCCTTTGCTTTTCTCTTTATTACTAAAACCTTTGCTGAAAGATTTTAAGATTGACTAACATTCCTTAGTCTTTGCAAATTAATAATAAATGAATCGGAGATTGAGACTGAACATTTAATTTGATTAACACTTAATAAAGAGTATTAAAAGGATGGTAAATACTCACGTTGTGAGAGAGAAAATTTGACTTGCAAATTGCCAGAGGATACCTGGGTGAGCACAGGTGTACTGTCCTCATAGGAAATGTGGTTCAGGAGCAGATAAAATCTATCTTCTTTGACCTGTGCATACGCTAAAACTGATACAATTCTAAAAAAAGAAAAAAATCAGAATCGGACAGAAATCTGATTTGATTTCTGTTGACTTTTGCACATTTTCCAGGGTAACAAAAGGTTGGTACAAAAGGGAAATGAGAAAAGCTGTGTGTCCTGTATCCTCATCTTGCTTTTCCTAACGGTTTCAGTGAGTCACAGTAGTGTTTGAAATGTGTTTTAGTTTTTTTTTTGGGGGGGGGAGAATATCTTGTAATGCTTCATTTGAATAAGACTAAAACACACCATCCTAACTGCTCCATAAACAATACATAACAGTATGCATAATCCTTTACAGCCACTTGTAAAAATGACATTGCAGGCCATTTATTTGTAATGGTTTCACAAAGAGTCATTGTTTCAGCTGAACGCTAAAAGCAGAGCTCCAGGTACAGAGAAGTCAGGTGAAAATGATGGAAGACATCATTAACGACGTGAGAGCTGACAAGGACTTTCTGCAGATACAGCTCAGTAACTGGTGCTGGTATTTTTATGCTTTGTTTGTTCTTAGGGTTGTTGACAATCTTATTATTCCATGTTACAAAAGAAAAAGCTTATCAGCACAACACTAACCTATTTGAAAAAATTATATCATGAAAAGGCAATTTTATAAAACAATAAAATACAAATTTATCCCTTTGTGCACTTCATTTCCTTTTTAATTAGGAGATGCGAAGAAACGGTGTTGTGTGATCCTTTCACACGGCATTGGGGTTGCAACAGCACCGTGATTTCAGCAGTGTTTCTTTATTACAAGGATGGATATTATTGCAACAATTTTAAAAAGCCAAAGATTTTTAGGGGTCAAAATGGAATCCTTATACTTTTTTTTAAAGAATGCCCAGAAGGCAATTTACAGGTGAGCGGAGCTGTTCGGCCACTCAGGGCCGTTTCGTAGTTTGATCTGAGGATCTCCTCCTGTTGTTTCTTGAGGGAAACATGGGTGTTTTATAGGAGAGGAGTGGGACATACAGTACCATTCCACTGTCCCTGGAGCATCTGTCATCATTGCAGTGTATTTGTACTGCTTTTTGTATTTCCTGCTTTTAGTGAAAGCTAAGACTACCTGGAATATAATACACAGAACTTTATGCAACATCATTCTGATACAGATTATTAGGAAATACTAGTGTCCTCTCTCTTTGTGCCATCTCAAGTAGAAAAAGAACATGGGATCAAACTGCCGTGATGACTCAAAAACATCCAAATTATAATGTTTTAAAAACAAGAGGCTAAGGTGAGGCTCCTTTTAGGAGAGGTCCTATAAAAACTAGAAAACTAGATATGACATTTGTATTTTAATTTGTTTCTTTGACGCGGACAATCACAATGCCACCAGCAAGGTTGTGATTGGACCAAGAAACGATTAATATTCATACCCATATACTCCGCACTCATCTCCTATCCTCAAAGGGTGCTCGTTCTAATGTTTATTTGTTTATTTCACTAAAGCACAACTTTTGTAATCCACATATCCTTTGCTGGAGGACATTCATTTGTCACTGAAATTACAGTTTTGAATCATTTAAACTTCCCTATTGACAAAGCTATTAGCACGATGAGTAATAATGGGATTTATCTGCTCTGACTTGCTCAGCTAATGTTTTCAACATTGCTTTCTTATTGACTTCCTCAGCAGAGCAGTAATTATTCATAACTCATAAAAAGTGCAGGGGAACTTCATTAGTGCAATCTGGAAGCCCATTAATGTGTCCTAGCACAGTCAGCTCAAGCCTTTTGTACATTTCCAAAAGGATATGAAAATTTGAACGGTTTACCTATTTAAGATGTCCGATACCTACAGTAGTGAAAGAATTCTGCATCTGTCTGTTGTCAGAACAGCTCTAGTGCCAGTGAGGAATGTGACAAACTGGATCTTATCCTGGAAACACCAGACAGGATCCAGGGTAATGGAAGAGGGGAAAGTGTAGAACACATGTACGGTATGTGAACTGAGCCGGCATGTCTTTGGAGGTGTGAAGGAGCCCGAGCTCTTAGAGAAAACCCAGCCAAACACATGAGAGGAGACAAGCAAAGTAAATACTAAAGGAGCTCACCCCCAGAGCAGACCTTGGGACCCAAGAGTTTGGGGGTGACAGCGCTCACTGCCTCGCACCGTCTTTTGAGAATATTCAAACTGCTGTGATAAATCAAAAACTATGTTATAGTTGGAAAATTAGGAGAGTACCCATGTAGTGTCTTTGGAGGTTTTGAGGGAGCTGAGTGTCTGTCCTTTGTTTTGTTTGTTTTTTTGTCATTTTCTAGTTGATGTTTTGGTTTCTTAGTCAGATCTTTTTCAGTCCTCACTCAACGTGAAACTAGAGCTGGAATGAAACTGTTGAAATTGTCTCACAAAAACATGATATTATATCTTTGCAATGACTGCTCCAAGAAATCCATTGTATATCGATGATGAAATACTTGTAACTTCATTAATGTCAGAAAAAAAAAAAGGATTTATTGACATCACAATATATAAAATACTGTAGAACAATGAACAGTTTTTGGCATTAGATATTTAATACACAACCAGTCTGAAACCACCAAGTTGCAGCAACAATTCCTGTATTGTATGAGGTAATTTAACTCAACAATTTAATTGCAGTTCTTTAGAAAATAGATTTCAAAGTACTGCAGAGAGGCTGTGGTACTATACATGCTAATAAACCCACGCTTCTTGAATGATTTATATTATTTGAAAATTATTACTTAGTGCTTGCTAATGATGAGGGTATTTAACTCATGACAGTTCATTTCTTGCATAAGTGGACTGGTGTTTTAACAGAAAGAAAGATGAACAACCTGTCTACTTTGATTTCAGTAAGGAGCCTTCATTTCCTAATCCCTCCACCTCTTTTTTTTGTTAATGTGTGAGCTCCCGTTTGTGTTTTTTGTATGATTTTCTGTCAGTGATTTTCTGTTGACTGTTTTGTGCAGTAAGGTGGCTTTTGTTGGCCTGTGCAAGTCCTGTTCAAACTCCACATAAGTTTGACCCTAAGAAAGGGTTTAAATGTGAGGAGGCAACCTTCTGTACCATGTGGTCGTAGCTACTACAATTACTGGAATTGTTGGATCTCATGAAGTTGTTTTTTTTGTAAGGAGACAGGGTGTTTCCTTCAACAACGTCGCTACCTCCCAACATTTTCTTCAGGAACAGGTTAAAGATTTTCACTCATCGGATGAAAAATCCTAGAACGAAACTTAAAAGCGGCTGGTTTTAGTTTTAGAAATCTGTCTTTGCTGAGCGGTTCCAGCGGAAAGGCTGAATGAGCAAACAAAAAAGGCCCCATTGTGTGATCACAAGAACCTAAGAAGAGGCCATGTGGGCCATCTCGCTCACTGAGCTCCTGGGAGTTCACTGATCCCAAAATCTCTTCAAACCTGTCTTGGAAGAAGCCAGGGTACGAGCCTGAAGGATATCACTCGAAACGAAATGAATTCCTCAGCGATTGTACGGCAGATAGGGGTAATTCCTTCACCAAACCCGGAAGGGCTAATGATGAGATTACTTGGAGGGGGTTTATATAGTACCAGCAGACTGGAGACTGCTAATGCAGATACTGTTCATCTTCAGGTGGTACGGCCAGGCTGCTGCAGGTGGCACATGCAGTACTGTGTCTTGTTTAAATGCAAAGATGTCCTCGCTCTGATGTAGCCGCACAGT